GGCTTCTCACTGCAGTGGCTTCTCCTGTTGTGGAGCATGGGCTCTAGGCACGTGAGCTTCAGTAGTTGCAGCACGCAGGCTCAGTAGTTGTGGCTCACAGGCTCCAGAGCACAGGTTAAGTAGTTGTGGTGCATGAGCTTAGTTGCTCTGCGGCATGTTGGATCTTCCCGGTCCAGGGCTTGAACCTGCGTCCTCTGCATTGGCAGGCAGATTCTTAAACACTGCTCCGTCAGGGAAATCCCTACCATACTGTTTTGATGACTGTAGCTTTTCTTTCTCAAGATTATTTTGGCTATCTGGGGTCTTTTGTGTTTCCATACAAATTTTAGAATTATTTTTTCTAGTTCTATGAGAAATGTCATTGGTATTTTGTCAGGAATTGCATTGAATCTGTAGATTGCATTGGGTAATATGGTCATTTTAACAATATTAATTCTTCCAATCCATGGACATGGTGTATCTTTCCATCTGTCTGTGTAGTCTTCAATTTCTTTCATCAGTGATTTATAGTTTTCTGAGTACAGGTCTTTTACCTCCTTAGTTAGAAGTATTCCTAGGTATTTTATTCTTTTTGGTGTAATTGTAAATGGGCTTGTTTTATTAATTTCTCTCTTGCTGACAGTTTGTTTTTAGTGTATAGAAACGCAACAGATTTCTGAAATTGGGTGATATTTTTACCTTATGGGAAAACAGACCAAGGGGTTTAATGTGTGTGGATCAGGAGCTACTGCAACAGCTTCAGGAGATCATGGTATTCCAGAAGGGAGAGCAGGAAGTGCTGGGTGGCAGGAGAGGCTAGTTCATGGCAGGGGGCAGGCAGCTGGAAGACTTTCATTTTCTCTTGGCCTCTGGCTTCAGGGTTGGAGTGCCACTGCCTCCTCCCTCATGAACCTCCAGCATCAGTCCAGGGAGAACCTGAGCCCAGGACCATTTCTCCCCCAGTCCACACTGCATCCCTGGGTGCCTTCAGCCACCCCTGCCTGCATCCATCCACAGGACTGGGTAAGATGCTGACATGGACATTGGGTCCTACAGAGCTGTAAGGGTTTGAGATCCTCAGCTCCATGAAGTTCCCAGCATACTCTGCTATTTCATCAAAGCAGCTGAGGGTGGAGTGTGGATGGGAGAGAGGGATAGGGAGCACAGGGTCAAAGAGTGGGACTGTGCCAGTAAGCAAGGCTTTGTGTTTGTTCACTTTGGGTTTGAATGCCATTTGTGGGGCTCAATCAAATAAACTTGTAATGTTTTTGACTTATCTAAAGCTCTATTCCAAACATCCTGGCTGATGCCATTTATTTCAGCTTTGGAGACCCTTTGATTCAGCAACCTCATCCACATTGACTTTTGGGTGGGGCTGTGCAGCTTGCTGCCCCATTGTCATAACATCCTTCCTCCTCCTGCATGGGGGAGAGTGAGCAGGAACCAAAGCACCATTCAGGTGGCTTGTTTCAATCCTGCCTCTCACTGCTTAGCCTCGTTGACAGGTAGGACAATGTGAGACGCTCACTCTAGCCACCCTTACCCTGCCACCCCCTGTTTGGGTGAGAGGAGTCACTAACATGTGCCAGGGAGCCTTTTCATGTCCCCTGATCTGGTCCACAGGGTCCTTTGTCCTTCCTATTCCAGAAAGCCATACCTCTGTCAGCACCCTATCCTCGTTGCCAAAACTGTCAGGGTCTGGCATTTGAATTTACCCTGCTGATAAGTGAATAATTAGCCTCTTACTGTTTCATAGATGCTGGCCAAGGTGAGACTCTAGTGACAGAGACAAAGGACTTTATTACACACGGCACATTAAGCAGCATAAGCATAATGTTTACATTGGCTCCCTTGCCCCCCCAAGTCCCACAGGGGCAGCATGGAGGGCCCCAGTAGATGCCATGCATACAATGGGTTTGTGTTGCATCTGAGGAACACTGAGCTTGGGGAACCCACCTGTTTTATAGCAGGAAATAAGCAAGCCTGCTTTTTGTCCTAGAGGGAGGTATTACTTCATCCCTCAAGGTTGCTCACTACAAACACAAGCCTGAGAAATGGCAAAGAGCAGTTACGACCCTGTATCCTTGGGATACCCAGGAAGACTGGGCAGGGACGCCAGGGCTCATGGCCGGTTGCCTCTCCTAGTAGTTCCTACTCCATGTCTGTTTCCAGGCCACGCTTGTCTCTTTTTTAAAAGCTCCGTTTCTCAGTCCTGATCAGCAGTTTCTGCTGCCCTTCTCTAGTCTGCCCAGACTGGATCATGGCAGCAGAAACAAAGAAAAGAGAAACTCAAGCTCTTTTTTTTTTCCCCACACTGTGGCACATGGGATCTTAGTTCCCCTACCAGGGATCATATCCACATCCCCTGCATTGGAAGCACGGAGTCTTAACCACTGGACCTCCAGGGAAGTCCCCCCAAGCTCTTTCAAGATCACAGATGCAAAAGACTTAAATAGATCTTAGCAGATCAAATACAGCAGTATACTTAAAGAATAATATATCATAACCAAGCTTTTCTAACATATAAGGATGGCTCAGCATTAAAGTTTATCAATATGTATTAACAGATGCAAGGATAAATTTCATTCATTCATTTAGCAGATACATATGGGCCCAGGGTTGACAAAAATGACAAAATTCCAGCCCTCAATGAACTTACATTCAAGTGAGAGATACAGACAGAAAACAAAGAAACAAATACATAATATGACATCTAGTAGTGACTGGTAAAACTGAGAAAATAAAGCTCCAGTGAAGTGATAGATATTAGCAGTTTCACATGGTTTCACCTAATATATATGTGGGAATTTAATATTTGACAAAAGTAGAAATTCTTATCTGGGGCAATTAGCTAAACTTTCAGAAAAAATAAACGTAGGTATTTATATTTCACCTTTTATAAAACTACATTTCAGATAAATTAATGACCTAAACCAGAGAAACTCACAAGACCATAATAGCATTAGAAAAAATATTGGAGAATATGCTTAGCACCTTAAGGTACAGGAGGCCTTCTGAAATGAAAGCTAGAGCATTGGAGAAAGACTGACACATTTCTTTCTGTATCATGTGGAAGGAGAGCAGAAGTGGTGTGTGTAACTGGCAGGAAGTATCATTAAAGGGCTGGGGGCCTCTGCTCTCCCTCTTCCCTGTCCTCCTTCTTGCTGGGTGGAATGCATAAATGGTGGCTGGAGCTGGAATAACTGTCTTGAATCAACTTGGGAATGAAGACCTTGCAAGGTGGACCAACAGGATAATGAAGTCTGAGCCTCTGATAGGATGGAGGCCAATCCAGCCCTGAACCAACTATCACTGAACTCTTATGTGAGCAAGAAATAAAGCCCTTTCTTGTTTGGGTTGTGGTTATGTTGTGCACTATCACTTTGCACCTGAATCTAATCCTAACTGATACACCTTCTTAGCCCTAGGTGAAAGATCATGATTGTTTGTGTAAGCCACTGGTTCTCAACTCTGGTTAACTTTTACAGTCATCCAGGGAGCTTTTAAAGAACACCAGTATCTCACCCCAGATCAATTACATCAACACCTCTGGTGGTAGGGTCCAGACATGGGTATTCTTAAAAAGCTCCCCTATGAGTCTAATACGCAGTCAGACTATGAAGAATTAGTTTAAGGACAAACTTCTTCCCCTCCTTCCCAGTCTCCCTTGTAGTAGGAGAGGTCATGGACCTAGTTCTGGCCTGTGCTACCTAAGTGGAAATCCGCTGAGATTTTATCTGGGATACTGTTTACATTTCTGATAAAAAGGAGCATATGTGGCTGTGACTGTTCTTTCTCCCCCTTTCTAGCTTTTTTTTTTT